CTCCTGAAAGCAGCATAAGGCTGTCAGTCACGCATTGGCAGGCTTTGTGAAGGATGCACAATAATAACTCTGTCGTGATGTGTTGAGAGAAATTGTAATCTTTGCTGCAATAATGCGGCAATAAAGACTTTGCTGATGTACTCATTCAGTGTATTGTAAATGTGCTCGACTCCAGCTGTGTCATTTACAGGTCCGTAAATTGTCCCTTATCCGATTATTTCACGTAAACTCAAGTTGTATAAGAAAAGAATTGTGCACGGATGCTTTAAACGTATGCATTTTAAAGTGCTGCTATTCATTTCACCATCATTGCTACACTTCCATACACATACACAGTGTGTGTACGTAAACACCAAGTGTGTGTAAGGACATGTGTACACACAGTGTGCCCACACACACGTACATAATGATGTGTGTGTGTGTACGCCACCCATCATTAGAGCATGCTTTTTGCAGACCAGGTTCGTGCCGATTCACGGAAATTCCAAACGCACGCAGCCGCGAGGTAGCCAGGCGATTGACGTCCAGCAAAGTGCATTCGTCATCCCACCCATGTGGTCCTTCGAGTGCTTTATCCCCCTTGCATTTGCGGCCCGTTGGTTTAACCCGCACACTTTTTTTTGCCATGTGCAAAACACTCCTTTGACCAGCTCTCAAGACGTTTTAAAGCATCTTGATAATCGGCAAAGTGTTCCTGAATAAGTAAACAAATGGTTGTGCCATTGGAAAGTCAAAACCAGGTCAGGGGTGGATGTGGCCCTATATGGGGCCTGTGCCATGGAATCAATTAGCATGACGAGATGCTCGTGAATAAAAGTGGAAAGGTGGACAGGGTTATAGAGATGAGTTTTAGATTTAAACCTTTCAGGTAAGGGCCCACTGAGCCGTACAGCTCTTTTTCAGAAGCGACCTGGCCACAAATGATAGCTCAACGAAGCGGCTTATCACGTGGAATTGTATCGGAGCTAAACACTCTAAGCGCACGATTCTAAATGTGGAGGGAAAAAACGGAGGACCCGGAGAAAAATCCACGTGACCACGGGGAGAGAGAGACGCAAACTCCACATATACAGCAGGCGTCATGATACATTGTGTTCTATACTCATGTCTCGGGGCTCAGAAGAGTAGTACCATGTGACACCACTGTGGAGTGACAACAGCCAATGTGATGCCATATCGGTGACATCGCCTTCTCCTTTGGGAATAACCAACACAAGTTATTTTTCGTTTTTTTGTTGAGATTTTTTTGGGGATAAAAAATGTAAACTGGGAGCACAGGTTGTGATATCACCAAACAGATATTTACACCTTCTTGGTTCTTTCGGTAAAGTCACGTAGAATGGAAATAAAATAATGAAATAGAATTTTATTGTTTTATTTCATTATTTTATTTCCATTCTACGTGACTTTACCGAAAGAACCAAGAAGATGAATCCCTGCAGTCACGAAAGCTTTAAATCGAGATATTTACACCTGACACGTACTGTCCACCTTCACAGCATACTCGTTGATTTTACACAAAATGCTACATTATTCACAAGTTCAGCTTGAATAATTAATGTACAATGACGACGATCAGCAATGCTGTTTTTTGTTCAAGAGTTGCTGGTGTCGGCGTTCATGCATTTTGTGAATGTGTGGGCTCTTGGCAGTGCTGCGATCCAGATGCTTTACTTGCAGAAATATGTGTTTGTAATTGAATCCAGTATTTACAGTAATGCTTTATGCAATTATAAAGCATAATTTACTAATGTTATGGCAATGCGTTGTAATGCAACCTTAATTTCCTTGCCAAGTGCTCTAACTGATGATCGCAGGCAAATCGAAAAAAAACGTCACGACATGAATGGGCTTCGGGCGTACGCTCACGACGGTTCTTGGCAAGGAATTCTGAGGTTCGCTCTTGACGCGTGTCTATAATCTGGACGCGCGTGCAATTTCTGCTCAAGAATACGGCTCAGTCATTGTCGCTGTGGCGTGATAACTTTGAGGCACCTCGCCAGCGCATTGCGGCTCGCGGTTTGTTTGTTGGGTGGATCTTTTTGTCATTGAAATGCGGAGGCTTGACCCCCCCCCACCGCCTCTGCTCGGTGTGCACAGCTCTGCGCCCGGTGTGCACGTGGAGCACGGGAGGCTGCTGCCGTGAGCGGCGTCATGGTCGGAACGCTGGACTCGCAATCTGGAGGGCTGCCGGCTCGATTTGCCCGGCGGGGCAGTTGAAACGATGTTCAAGGTTTCTTAAATCCCTATTTCCTGACTGCGCACGATCGTTACCCGTACCCCGGGCAGGGCAGCGAGAAGCCTGGACGACCTCCCCCGATCGGATCCCTCATCTCGAGGGCGCATTGCGCCGAGTTCGTTACACGTCACCTGCTGGTTTTTTTCTCTCTCTCCCCCTGTTTTAAATCTACTTGGTATTCTGGGTTCTTGAATGACAATATTTGTTTTTATATATTTACATACACATACAACAACAAAAAACCTCCCGTTTCAAGCCACCAGGCATATAGAGTTAAATGGGATCGTCAGGTCGTGTGTGGTGGGGAAGAGTAGGCAACGAGATACAGTCGAGAGGAGCTCAAAGATCCCTCAAGTGGGAGGCCTCTCTGCAGGCAGCGGCACGAGCCAATCGACATTCGGGCTGCCCCTTTGCGCATGAGCACGGCGTCACTCCTGCACGCGGGCGCTCAGCCACGTGGACATTGTCTCTGGCTTTTAAGCCCCCCGACCACGCCCGCACGTGGCTAACGTCGCCAATGATGGCGCTGTTGATGGCGCGTGCGTGCTCACGGTGAAATATTAGGTTTAACCCCTTTTTAATACGGAAAAATATCGCGTGCAGGCGGACAAATCCTGACCTTATAATAGATCCCATGCCATTTACATTTTCCAGTAAAAATCACGAACGAATAAAGTATGCGAGTACGTTAGTGCGCCATCTGCCAATGCTGGACATAATTTCGCACTGAATGTATGGATTGGTAGAGCGAGCACAACTGTTGAGCCGAGGCCGTTCATTTTATCTTCTCCAATTTCCTTCGAAGCATAAAATAAACATCGTGGGAAATTAACGTTATGGCACAAACATAAATCTTAACCCTTTCCCATTCCGATGTACGTCATCAGTTTTTTTTCCGATTCCCAAATCGAAGACGAAGCCAAATAACTTTATCGGTACCGAGGCTCCCACAAGGCCATGCGGGGGGGGGGGGGGGGGCGTGTGGCACAGTTTGGCGCCAGCTATCGTGGAGTGCGGCGGTCGTGTTGCAACAGTTCTCTGCGGTGAGTAACAACGTGTTCAAAAACAACGGTGATGCTACGCCTCTCTAAATAACATTAACGCTGAAGCGCTCGCGCGTGCCGAGATTCGGCGGTGAGTGGGACGCCGCCCGCCCTGCAACTCGCAGTCGTCTCGGAAACGTGAAAGGGGTTGATAAGGGAAACAATAAAAGTAAAAATGTACATTCACGTACAAAAAGCAATTTCGTTTGCAGATCACTTTTTTTTTAACAAACCGCAAAGTGCTCACACTCCCAATGGCAGATGTTTCAATACGTCACCCGATAAGGAGGTGATAGGAATTGCTTACCCAGGTCAGGTGCTGTTAGTAAATGCCACGTACTCTATCAGGTCATTGCCAATCATTGTAATGACTCACTTTCTCCAAGGTGACTTGGCTGAAAGGCTAAACACACACTTTGCCTCAAATAGATATCCCCCTGAGTAATACCACTCGGTTCAGAGAGCCAGATGCCAATGGGTAATTTAGAAATTGTGAAAAAAAATGTATTCCCTTCAGGGGACATTATCGTAAAATGCTTTATCAGCAAAATAAAAATAAATCCCGTTATTTGTCAGCTTTCTCCTTATGTGCCAATCACATACGTGGCGAGGACACGGTAATAACCGAGCGTATTCATAAGCACAGGATTACATGAGACAAAACCCCGCCGCAAATCTCGTACTCGTTGAAATCCAACATGTTCATACACGGTGGCTTAATGTAATGCCATCGCGGATGATTTACACGTAGCACAAAAACATCATTAGCATCAGTGTGGAGAATATGAGTAACAACATAAATAATCAGACAATGCCCCTCTTTCACCTGTCTGCCGCTCCACCTAATTTTTTTTTACATATCCCATCAACCGCACGGCCTTCTGGGAGTACATAATTTCGGCAAAGTTGGTGCAACGTAAACTTGCGTTGAACGAATGCCGCTGAAATGATTCTCAGCAGGCTGAGAAGGAACATTCACGGGGAGTGTGACGCTCCCGATTTCCAGCTCAGTGGAATTTCACGTGGCCATTCTCGCCTCTTTCAGGTGCAGCGACAGGGACATTGCCCCACAAGCCTGGACACCATCCGCGTCCCTTCGCACGCCATGGGGTTGTTTAGCTGGTGCCGTTTCGTCTGTTCACCATGGCGATCAACCATCCTTTTTGACGTGATTCGGCTTTTATCTTGAGGCTCCAGTCCCTCGGGAAAGGCACGACCGCCAGCCCTCGACTCCTCCTCGTCGTGCGTGGTCCAAAGCGGGATACATTGATGTCAGGCCCGGGTCACACCTGGCGCTGGTTCAACCGTGCGTTTCGAAAATGGACTTGGTCTTATTCAAACGGAACGGTCAGAAAGCTGTGGAGGACTGTGCAGGCGTGACGAGATCACGTTCATCAGATGCGCTTGCAACTGCCCGTCCCGAGGTGCGTCTGTGTTTCTCTCACCTTTATATAAAAATTCTCACTAATGCTCGTCGTTTTAAAAATGTTTAAAACAAATAAATCAGCCCCATGGGTCAAGAGGGCCACGTCACGAATCCGGCACTATCGCCGCACAAGAGCTAACGTGCACGACATCGGACCGTCATGCGTCGGCGAGTGTCCCTTCTGAGGTCATAGCGGAGAGTTGGCAACTTTGAAATGTTTTTCATTGTTTTTTCCTGCGACGGAGGACCCCCGTTGCACTGCCAAAAATACTGCCGATGTTTTATGCCTCACCTTGTCGGGGTTGACAGCAGCGACGATCCACACACAGTGGGAATCACCGTCATAGAAGCCCGGGTAGTTGGGTGAGAAGATGATCCCACTGGGACCTTGAACATTCTCACCGCAGTTCTGAGCTGTAAAATGGCAAAAAAGAAAAATTACATATTTTTAAATATAAAATTTCATTTATTACAATGTACCCACCTGGACGTTTCCTTGAGTTGGAACATCCTCGTTTGCAAAGGTACAGTGAGGGAAAAATGTATTTGATCCCCTGCTGTTTTTGTACGTTTGCCCACTGACAAAGAAATGATCAGTCTATAATTTTAATGGTAGGTTTATTTGAACAGTGAGAGACAGAATAACAACAAGAAAATCCAGAAAAATGCATGTCAAAAATGTTATAAATTGATTCGCATTTTAATGAGGGAAATAAGTATTTGACCCCCTCTCAATCAGAAAGATGTCTGGCTCCCAGGTGTCTTTTATACAGGTAACGAGCTGAGATTAGGAGCACACTCTTAAAGGGAGTGCTCCTAATATCAGCTTGTTACCTGTATAAAAGACACCTGTCCACAGAAGCAATCAATCAATCAATCAGATTCCAAACTCTCCACCATGGCCAAGCCTAAAGAGCTCTCCAAGGATGTCAGGGACAAGATTGTAGACCTACACAAGGCTGGAATGGGCTACAAGACCATTGCCAAGCAGCTTGGTGAGAAGGTGACAACAGTTGGTGCGATTATTCGCAAATGGAAGAAACACAAAAGAACTGTTAATCTCCCTCGGCCTGGGGCTCCATGCAAGATCTCACCTCGTGGAGTTGCAATGATCATGAGAACGGTGAGGAATCAGCCCAGAACTACACGGGAGGATCTTGGCAATAATCTCAAGGCAGCTGGGACCATTGTCACCAAGAAAATAATTGGTAACACACTACGCCGTGAAGGACTGAAATCCTGCAGCGCCCGCAAGGTCCCCCTGCTCAAGAAAGCACATATACATGCCCGTCTGAAGTTTGCCAATGAACATCTGAATGATTCAGAGGACAACTGGGTGAAAGTGTTGTGGTAAGATGAGACCAAAATGGAGCTCTATGGCATCAACTCAACTCGCCGTGTTTGGAGGAATGCTGCCTATGACCCCAAGAACACCATCCCCACCGCCAAACATGGAGGTGGAAATATTATGCTTTGGGGGTGTTTTCTGCTAAGGGGACAGGACAACTTCACCGCATCAAAGGGACGATGGACGGGGCAATGTACCGTCAAATCTTGGGTGAGAACCTCCTTCCCTCAGCCAGGGCATTGAAAATGGGTCGTGGATGGGTATTCCAGCATGACAATGACGCAAAACACACGGTCAAGACAACAAAGGAGTGGCTCAATAAGAAGCACATTAAGGTCCTGGAGTGGCCTAGCCAGTCTCCAGACCTTAATCCCATAGAAAATCTGTGGACGGAGCTGAAGGTTCGAGTTGCCAAACGTCAGCCTCGAAACCTTAATGACTTGGAGAAGATCTGCAAAGAGGAGTGGGACAAAATCCCTCCTGAGATGTGTGCAAACCTGGTGGCCAACTACAAGAAACGTCTGACCTCTGTGATTGCCAACAAGGGTTTTGCCACCAAGTACTAAGTCATGTTTTGCAGAGGGGTCAAATACTTATTTCCCTCATTAAAATGCAAATCAATTTATAACATTTTTGACATGCATTTTTCTGGATTTTGTTGTTGTTATTCTGTCTCTCACTGTTCAAATAAACCTACCATTAAAATCATAGACTGATCATTTGTTTATCAGTGGGCAAACGTACAAAATCAGCAGGGGATCAAATACTTTTTTCCCTCACTGTATCCAGTCGTCAATTGACGCGTACGTAGCGGACGCATAATGACACGCGCGTTTGCACGCAAGTGAAATCTATCCCCCTGTATCGAGAGTTAAGAGTCGCCCAGCCCTCCTTGACAAGTGGCTTGGTGATGAACAAAAGCAACGCTACCCGTTACTGCGCCTTTCCACGGCAATATTCACAATCTCTTCCTTGGTTCCTGATTGGTTCCAGTTCGTAGACAGTTAACGAAAACGTCATTTCAAATTGAAACGCATTATAAACCTCCATACAAACATGGTCGCACAACGAGCAACTGATTTTTTTTTAAACATTAATTATCTAGAGCTGAGACGTGGAGTGAAGAATGGGCAGTCAGTTATTATAATCTTGCTACAAAGCTCTCATTCGCATCACAGCGTGGCGCCGTGGAAGTGCGATGTTGCCTGGTATACAGGAGGTCATGGGTTCGATCCTGACCCTGACCACCTGCATTTTTGGAGTTTGCATGTCCTCTCCGTGGTCAAGTGGATATTTCTCCAGGTCCTACGGTTTTCCCCTCCACATTTAGAAACATGCGCTTAGAGTTAAATTTTGATTTAAAGCTTTCGTGACTGCAGTAATTCATATTCTTAGCTCTTTCGGTAAAGTCACGTTGAAGGGAAACAATACATCAATAAAATATATATAAAACAATAAAAATTCTCACGACGTTTCGACCATAACGCAAACGGTCATCATCAGGTGTGAAAAAACTAACGGCAAGAAACATTTGAAAGAAGTGGCGGTTTGCATTAATTTAAAATTTAATATGCAAACCGCCACTTCTTTCAAATGTTTCTTGCCGTTGGTTTTTTCACACCTGATGGTGACCGTTTGCGTTATGGTCGAAACGTCGTGAGAATTTTTATTGTTTTATATATATTTTATTGATTTATTGTTTCCCTTCAACGTGACTTTACCGAAAGAGCTAAGACTATGCGCTTAGAGTATTTGGCTGCTATACATTTCTACGTGATAAGCCGCTTTCTTGAGCTATCATTTGTGGCCAGGTCGCTTCTGAAAAAGAGCTACATAGCTCAGTGGGCCTTATCTTTTTGTTAGACATCGAATAAAGACGGTCACTGCATCACGTGCTTTCAGATGTGCTTCTGCGGCCATCTGGAATACTTTTCCTTACAATATTAGGAAGCTGCTGGAGCTATGCACTTTTTTAATCCGGATTACAAATCATTTCTTTCTAAATGATGTTTGTATTTAGTTTATTGTCCTTACCCCGCACCTCTGATTAGCGCGGTTAGCTAAGTACAGTTCGACAGAAATTCAAGATACATACATATCTGGTGAAATTAAAAAAAATAGTTTCGTTTATCATGCCGGGTATTATAAGAAACAAAATGAACAATCCATCTACTTCCCATATCTGTCCCTTCACGTAAAAATATAAATGTATTTTTTCATTATCTACACGGCCTTTTGGGAGTGATTTGTTTTTTTAGAAGCATTATTTGGAGGGGCAGACACGGGAAGGAGGTGTATTTTCCATGGATTTATTTTGCCAGTAACTAGTTATAGTTCTTGTTTCAGGTGGCTCTACTCTAACCACTGGAGTCCCATCGGAGCAGTTGGTGAAGTGGAGTAATTGTCGAGCTGCGACAAGTGGTTGATTCAGGTGATAGTTGACTAAAAATTAGAATCCACTCCTTCTTTGTGGTGACTTTCTCGGATCCATTTAAAGACAGCAGCCAGCCCAACATCCTCCTGAAGGAGGAACCCCCATTCAAGCCATGCCCAGCGTGATGCGGATGATGATGCCTGTGACATCACCGCGTCCCGCCCATCACCTCCCGTCCAGTGGTTACACGCGTTATCCAATTAGTTGAGTAATTAAACCTATAATTGGTAAGGTCATTGATTGCTTAAGCAGTCAGAAAACCCAGCTCAGGGTGATTGTTTTCAATCATGGTAGGGTGGCTCCAGCAAGTTGTCCCCTCCAAACCGGCACGCGTCAAAGAGGACGCTTCGCCACTCTCGCACGAAACAAAGTCACTTGGGTGCCTCGCGGAGCATCCGCAACGTGACGCAGCCTGGCCAGCGATGTGGAGCCGCCGTCGTCCCAGGGTCCCGGGCCGATGGCACTCCTCGAGATGCGCCGCTCGCGATGGCGGTGACCTCGCTGTTGAACGTGCGCGTGACCTGGCGAGGTCGTGGGCACCCCCCCCCCCCCCCCGCCGGACGAACGCACAAACCTCGACCTCAGGCTCGACCGCGTCAAACGAGGATGCACCGCTGTGCATTCGTGAACGCATTTCAGCGCGGGTCCTGCGTTTTGCGAGATGACTATTGACGAAATGTGCAGTGGACACCGGCGGGCTATCTGCCCATGGATCGTGATGATGATGACGATGATGAGAGCGTGTGTGTGTGTCCGTGTCCCGGGGTGTGTAGCAGTTAGTGCACTGCGCTACGAACCCGGCGACCCGGGTTCAATTTCCGCTAACGGCCAACACCAGTGACGATTATCTGGACCGATCCTGGCCCTCCCCGAGGTCAACTCAGCCTCAAATGAGTACCTGGTGTGGTGTGTAAACATCGTCACTGGGGAGATAAAGGCGGCCGGGCGTGGTGTTGGCCAGCCACCCCTCGTGTGCCGTGCTAGCCTTCATAGGTGCTCGCTAATAGCACTTGCCCCAACAGTCTATTAAAGCTATACAGGGAATCTTTGTCTTTTTTTCGTCCAGGGGTGTAGAGGGTACAATAAATGAGCCGTTATCTACGAGCCGACCGAGGTCCCACGGATTCCATGAAGGTGGAGCTGGGCAACGCTGACGCGCTGACGGGTGGAGGATGCCGCCGCTGCTGCTGGGGCAGCGGTGAGGACACCAAAATCTACGTGCGGGTTGCCCAGCTCGATTCATTTTTGGCACCACGCTGGTCGGTGAAAAATATACAGATCTTAGGTTTTCTGAACGCATGCCTAAGTGAACTCTGTTTTTGCTAACTTTGCCCGTTGCGATTAAAATGTACGCGACAAGATGGGAAACGTTGAGGCTGTTGAGCTTTTTTTGCCAAATCTTACAAGCCTTGATGCTACACGATGCATTATGAATACAATTGCGGCAGAACTTTTATATGTCCATATCAGGCTAGACCTAGTTTACCGTACCACAGATTAGCATCTGAGATGCCAAGGAAGGGAAAAAAAATCTCTTGATCGTACTTAGAAGTCGTACGCACACGCCCATAAGTCACGGAAGCATAGGCACGTCTGCACGTCCACAGCAACGTGCACACACTGATGTGCCTGCTTTGTATCGCAGCCGAATGGCGTTTCCAAAGCAGCGGAAACCACCCCAGCCGTGATGAATGGTTGTGCACTGTGCGAGTTGGGATTCTGCATGCAAGATTATTTATTTATGTATGACCCCCCCCACCTCCCACTGAATGATTTTCCGTACTGTGTGAAAGATGTTGCTCGTATACAACTGGCCCGGCCCACACCGCACGCGATATATCCCCGCGTGCAAGAGGTCACCAATTGATGTCTGACGGACGATGTCCAAGGTTAAGGACTGCACGGCTACGTGGGCGATGCTGTGTTTGCACGACGCATGAAGGCACGTTTGCCGCGGAGCACCGAGGAGATCGTGCGGGGAGATTTGTCTCACCTGCTGCCAAAGAGTGCCCGGCCCTGTTCAATTACGAGCGCCACTTGTCCGGCTCAAAGCCACACGAGGAATCGGCCACCGTGTTTACGACCCAAACAATCGAAATCTCTGGCTTTGGGCCCCAAGGCGATGGGACAGCCTGTGATGGCCAGGCCATGTGAATAACCCTTTGGCCCAGCGACCTGCCCTGCTCAGGACTCCAATGCCAGAACTACCCACCCACCTCCCACAATCCCAGCCGCTCCCACTTCCAAGGTGACATCTCTCGGCACAGAACAGTGTAATCTCCTCTATATCAGGCTGACACGGTGCCACGAGCAGAAGTTTCAGGGGGCAGGCGTTGGAACGGACGCCGATACGGATCGTCGGAAAAGGACCGCCAGATTTAGCCAATATAGTGCCTGCTACCTGGGCCCATGGCTTCCAAACAAAGGGAGCCGTAGGCGGCGAAGCGTCCGCTTCATATCACAGACAACGATCTTAGGCCCGGCTGGATGCAGAAGGGGCATCATCGATGAGCCGGATGAATGTACCGGAGCAGTGATAATTGAAATACGTGTGTAGTCTCGATCTATTTAAGCATTTTCACGCTGCTAAGCAGGGCTGCCAGCTATGTATATAGATGGAGGCTGGGATGAGAACGTGAGTTATGAATGAAGAGTGAGTGACTCTCTTGCAAACCACCCGTACATTATGTTTTTGTGTGTGGCTCTCGGATGTCGGGGGGGAGCTCAGCACGACTCGAAATGTGACGCTGCACGTGATGGGAGCTGCCTCACGAAAATTAATCCCTTTTATACGTGGCTCTGGGGAAAAAAAATGTTTGGGCATCGTTGCTGGACAGCATGTGGTACAACCCGCGAACACGTCGGAAAGCTGTGAAGGTAATTGTTAACCGATGGCAACTCTTATGGTTCCCTAATAACTTGAAGTAGATTTTTATAATTACTCGTTACAAGAGGCACAGCTCTGCGATAGACACAACAGCGTGAATGTGAAAATACATTGGAAGCAAGGGAGTAATTACCGCAAGACACGGACAAATGCCCGTCCGCGGTATTTTTGTCAATAATCCGCTGAGCGCAAACGACGGCAATAACGGCGAGCGGAGGGTTTCCTTCACTCGCCTTTGCACTGCGGGGACTGATCGCTCCACGCAGCGAACACGTCCGCCAGGCGCTGGCACACGACGCTCTTGGAGCCGAGCAAGACGAAGCCCTCGTCGCACGCGAACTGCACCGTGGCACCGAGCCTGGGGAGAAACGCAGCGGGGGGGGGGGCAAAGCTGGGGGGCAACGCGAGCGACAAGAGACGGAGCGAGGGTGCGCGGCGCAAGCGCGACCGTTCCCGGGCGCACCACGGATTGGCTGATTGGCCAACGGCGAGTGACCGCGTAGGAGCAGGTGGCAAGGCGAGGCCGTCAAATGTGACGGCGACGGGGGACGAGGGGGGGGGGAGGTTTTGAGCGAGAGGTGCGAGGATTCGACGTCGCTTATCCCGCTCCGGTGGAATGAGCACGGCGTCGTGAGCATCTCTCTCTCTCAGCAGCCGTGAAAACCAGGAGGACAACATGCCACGTTATTCAGGTTGGGGACGAGTATTTACACGTGACAACCACTGTTAAGACGATGAAAAAATAAGAATGGGTTTTTACCATTCCTGGCAATGAAACAGGCGGTGTTAAGATGTTCAAACACCAAATAGGCACATTTTGCAAGGCATCAAGTCGGCATTAACCACACATACTTGTGTAAAAAACATGCAAACAAACATGCCCTGATTATAATATAACCACTGTTAAGGGTAGGATTAATATGCAGTAAATTAAGGGAACACTGTATTATTTCAAATATAATCCATCAATGGAACTGCTGGATTATATTTTTTCTGCCTGAGGACGACTGTTTGTGTTGCGATCGAAACGTCGTGATTTATTTTATTTTATACCTACGTGACTTTACCGAAAGAACCAAAGAGTATGGATTCCTGCAGTCACGAAAGCTTCAAATCAAGACTGTATTATCTATTTCTCTTCAGGCTATTCACTGGAAGATATGTACTAGACATCTGTGAAAAAGAGCTTTATAGCTGATCGGATTCCTCCAGTATAAATATTGTGATGTATTTAAATGTAACATATGGACAAAGCGTATATTAAAGGCGTGTTTCACTTCGGTAGAAGGATGCCCACTTGCCTCAAATACACGGGCTTCCAAACCCACGGTGGCCACAACAACCATAATAAGCTGACGCTCGACCAGAAGCTGCGTCGCACCAGGCGTTTAATTAAACACACACACGGGGGAGTGGTGACTGCGGGAACACTGCTCATTGAGAAATTCTCGACCGAGGCGTCAGGCTTCCGAACGCGCAGATCCATCGACGAACCGGTGAGGGGGGGGGGGGCTTAAGCTACGCGTTTTTTTTAATAAAACAGCTCGATGTCCGATCTGACCCTAAGAACGGCAACGCTCGTCCAGTCGCCGCCAGAGCTGAACAAGCTCCCTGGTATAATAATTTGCATTCACAGAAAGGGCGACACGGGGATGTGAATTTGAGAGTCAGCTGTTTTTTTTGTCTTTTGTTCTGCCACTTGTTTTTGTCCTGCCAGAGCAAGGGCCGTTTCGCAAACAAATTAGGCCCATTCCGCAATTCACGCGCAGCCAATTTCACCGCCCCCCCCCCCTCCCAGAAAGAAAAAAAACCCCAACGCACCGCTGCTTACGCCTCTCGCTGCTTACGTGGCAATTTGTGGAATGGCCCAAAAAGTGGGCCGCGGTGAGGGCGTAGCCAACGGTTGACGGAGAGCCGCGGCGTCGACTCCGCGTCAATCGCGCTAAAGAGGGCGCGCGGCTCGCATGGGGGAGCTCCACGCTTCTCATTCACGCGCACGGCTCTTTTTCCTTCGTTGGCACGACAGTTTTTCCACATTTCGGGGCAGAATTTAATGGCACCTCGGCACCCGTCTGTTCGCTATAAACTCTGTTGCAAGCGGCATAATGCGGGCGTGCTCATGTGCCGGGGATGATGATGATGATGAAGAAGATGATGTTGACAATTTGAAAGACAGAGATGCACAAAGGCAAAGATCCCCCGTATAGCCCGAACAGACTGTTGGGACAGCAATGATGAAGGCCGGCATGGCACACGGGTGGCCAGGCCGCCTTTGTCTCCCCAGTGGTGATATTACACATCACACCAGGTACTCATTTGAGTCGACCTAGGGGAGGCCCAGGACCGGTTCAGATATTCGACACTCGTGTTGATCAAGAGCGGGAATCAAACACGAGTCGTTGGGTCCATAGTTCAGTGCAATAACCACCACACGACTGCTCCCCATACAGACACGCACACACACAAGCAGATATGTCTGCACAGACAATTATCCTTAATGCTACCTTATATGCTCTCCAAACACAAGCCATGGCGAGGCAGAGACAGGGCCAGAGAAAGCACTGCAATTGTGACCCCTGCATCTGGAGTTAAATTCCCGGCCATGGCTAAGCACACTATGAGACATGTATCAATAGTCCAATTGTAATGTGCAATTTTATTGAGAGACACTGTGTTGTCTCGCTGTGGTCTGGGACTGTTGTTGTTTTGCTGCCTTGCCCAAGCTTGTTGAAAAATCGGCAGCGATTGATATACTTTTGCAATATGTACTGATGTACTTAATTCATTTACTGTTAGTGATTTGCTTAACTTTCCTATAAGTTGCACTCCTATCGTGTGTTTGTCTTGTTAGTTGTTGTAACTTTCTGATCCGCCCCTACTGGACATCTGTGAAAAGAGCTTCATAGTTCATATGATTCTTCCAGACGAAATTTATATGGCTGGCATTGGCGGCAGGTGATATCTTAACCGGTCCTGGGTGTGGTGAAGTATAGACAAACAAGCTGCAAAATGAACAAGGTGTGGCTCAGCAGCCTCTGGCTGCCAGCACGTTGACTGCTGGAATTTCGCATTTGGGGCATAAATGATGTCCACACGATTCGGCCATCAGGGCTGTAAATAGAGGGCTGGCGAAGTCCCCATTTGGTGCTGCAAGTATCGTCATGGTGTCCCGTGATGATGCACGCTGATGTGCAACTTTTGATTCTGGGCGCTGCGTTGGCGATATGTTAACTCCCTTGCCTGGTATGCAGGACGTCGTGTGTTCGATCCCGACCCTGACGCCTGCTGTATATTTGGAATTTGTACGTTCTCCCCGTGGCCGCGTGGATTTTTCTCCGGGTTTTCCCTCCACATTTAGAAACGTGCGTTTAGAGTATTTGGCTGATATACATTTCCACATGATAAGCCACTTCATTGAGCGATCATTTGTGGCCAGGTAACTTCTGAAAAAGAGCTATATAGCTCAGTGGGCCTTACCTGGTAAAATAAAAATAGTTTAGTTTAGAATCCAAACACATGGAATATACCAAGAAGGGGAGAGGTCCGTAGATATACCAAATATAGAGCACAAGATTTGGATCGTGTTTGTACAGAGTTACTCATCCAAAAATCCACACGATCATCCAGAGTCCACAACTATCCAAAGCATATCGCTGCACAGCAGGGCTTGGTCCTGTCAGTCACGTCCCAATCACTTCCCCCCCGACCTCATTCGGATTCGCCCGGCAGTCACCACCACCACCACCATGCCGGTGGACATCCCCATCTGCCCAGCAAGCATTGATAATTAACAAAATCCATAAATACTTTGTATTAATTTTAAAAGATCGTTTCTTCCCCCCCCCCCCCAAAGTCCGATAATGGTGGTGCTAGAGGGGGCAGCGATGCGATATTTTTTTATTTTTTCTCACCTGAAGTCGGACCCCAAACGTACTCCGTTCCGTGGGACCTCTGGTTCTGGGCAAATATTCGATGCCTGGGCAATGCCTCCCTCGCTCGCTGGAAGACCAAATCAATACCGTGCGTCAAACAACTGAGAATACGACCACAACAACACATACGTTCGTAAAAATGTAACAAAGTGGATAACATACGGGAGACACATTCTTCTCATAAAACGCTGTTGCTGTCTCCCATTTACTATTTGTATCACGTTATCCCCTTAAAGGTAACTTTCCTCCCGTAATGAGAATTATAAACAACATATAAAAAGGAGAGTAATTCCAGCCGTGGCAGCTCCTCCACAGGACTGCAGATTTCGCAAATCGCCGCCTGCGTGCGACGACGCGGAGCGCATTCGCCGGCTCCCACAGGGGCAGTGGAAGGAGAGATTTTGTATCGCGCCCTTAATGCAAACCAATTTCCCCCTCGTCCCCTCCGTGGAGTTTGTGATTGCAGACCCATCACGATCGCTGGTCCCAGCACAGCCAAGAACAATGCAGCCCTTGGGTTATTGCGGCGGTAATGTTTATACCACGGGATGAGAGGCTGTCAGCATTTCTCAACGGGTCCCCCCCCCCCCCCACCCACGGAGAGGAGCCGTGGCTGTGGGGAGGTGGGGGGGGGGGACATGAGGCTGTTAAGCAGATGCCCTTCCTTTCATTTGCTCCATATTGACCGATAGTAGGCGAGCTCCTTGATGAGCTCACGATGAGTACGATGAAGAAATCGTTACGACAATGCCGTCGCCGCCGCCCTACCATCGTGACTGACGGCGCTGTTTTGTGCGATGATTCATTCAAGAAGGGGATTATGACTGGGACGGATGGACGTGTCCCTTAGGCTCCCCTATTACCCCCCGAGTGTGAACAATCTTAAAAGGTAACCACCGGAGTTCCATCAATTTAAATGATAATGGTCTGAAAATGATGACGCTTAAACATCGTGTGAATGACTTGAAGGTGAATAATCTCAAACATAAAATATCGCTAATTTCACTTACAGACGGCATACTTGTGATTATTTTCTTTTCCCGGGAATAATTTCACTCCTCTTGACTTCATATCAATCGCTTGTTTTACTGCAGCAACACACACACGCACGCACGCAACAAGAGAAAAAGCATGTGATGCATTCTGGAAACACAAGAGTCATTTAAAAAAAAGAATCAAGCATATGCAAGTGCTATACAATGTTATCGATGCCGCATAAGTGGAAAGCAGAGACTGACAAAATAGCTGTTTCAACACAGCAGCTTCAAAATCGTTATCACATTCATTCGTTTCCTCTTCTTTGCAGACAAATATATTTGGCCGAGTTTAGTTTGTTTAACCAGGTGCGGAGCTCAAGAGACCGGGAGAAAGTCTAATTTGCAAGCTGACTTGTGTCACCAAACACAAAAAGAGGAAATAAAACTAATAAAAACATAACCATGGGGAAGAGAAGACAGCATCTAAGCCACACGACCACGACTTTACAGGAGAAAGGAACAAACACAAAAAAACACCGCGCAAATATGTCTCAATCTTAAATAAAATACAATTTTCCTACAAAATAATTTGGCTTCACAAAATTCGTGAACACAAAGCAGACCTAAAACACGGTAGGACCAACACCTCGGCCGTGGCAGATCACTGTTATAATTCAGTAGGCTCACATGACATTGATTTCTCCAAAACAGAGGTTCTCTGCAAGCCATCTGGCTACCATGAGAGATTCGTTCATGAGGCTATCCACAAAGACAATTTCAACCGAGAAGATGGATTCTGGCTGAGCAATCATTGGAAGGATTGGAAAAACCATTTCGGGTCTTAATTGATTGTTCACGCTTACGGTGGCTTTCAGACCGCATCCATTATTTTCGTCTCCCCCCTCCTCTTTTCCAAACATAGATGGACTCGTCCATCTGAACAAACTGCCAAATCGCTATCTGTGGTGCCAACGTAAAAAAAAAACGCCACTTTTTTCAAATTTTCTTGCTGTGGTTTTCACACCTGATGATGATTGCTTGTGTTGCAGTCGAAACGTCGTGACAATTTTATTGTTTTATATTTTTTATTATTTTATTGTTTCCCTTCTACGTGACTTTACCGAAAGAACCAAGAATAAGCACAGGGGAAATTAAGTTAGAGAAAACGTAGCACGGAATCAAGGTAACTTGTGGCAATTCATAGTGAGCCATAATTGAGGTTTTTTTTGGGCTACATCGCGTAAATACAAATGCATACCCGTCAACCCATACGGTTTACCCGTAATCTTCTACAGGGAAATTGAGTTTTCAGGTCCATACGGCGTACAGTCGTTTCAATATGAGTAAAAAAAAGCATACGGCCAAATAAAAAAAAAGTCGTGAATGAAAGTGAATTGTTTAACCCTTCATAAGGTTTTGTATTTATTGTTGCACATTTACGACATGAGTGTGTGCATCAACATATCAAGCAAGCAGCAGCATCAGCATGCAAGTACGCAGTAGCATGATAAGTAACATCATTGACACCCATTATCAACGTTAATACTTAAAACAGTTTTTGTTTAGTAAAATATTTCTTTATTGGTTTGTGTTTTTCCCTTGTATTATGGATGATATTGGTCACGAAAGCCTACGTGTTAAACGAACTTTGGAGGATGAACGTTGAAATGTATGGCGGGACCCCGGGGTCCCACAAAACTCAGGTCAATAATAATAATTATTATTTTTCAGTCCGCCCCCACTCGTGATCCCGCCAGCAATGCGCCGCCCGCCCAGACTCGCGCCAACAAGCGCCAGCAGGCGGCGATCAACACGATGGGCGCCACCCCACCGGCCAAACACGAGCCCCAGGGGGCGTCCGCCGCAGTCGCGTGCGGCCACAACGCCCTCCGGTCAGCCGTCGATCCTCAGCTTCTTTGCCAAGGCGAGCCCCGCCCCCCCAGGCCGTGAATTTAACGTGTTTATGTAATTATTCAACTTTGTACGAAACTTAGTGCCCCGAGTAGCTCTCGACGAGGCCAATCGATTGACACTAGTTTTGTTGTCGGTAAGGCAAGACTCGTGTCGCTACGCGGTTTTTCCCACCCCGGGGCAGTGATGGGACCCCGGGGTCCTGCCAATTACTTCAATTGTATAAGTGCACGGGGTGACCAATAAGGTCTGAATTGGTCTGTAACAAGGTAGGCACCGATAACGGGTTGACAGGTATGTAAATGTGTCGTTAAACCCATCACCACTCGACTCAGCCAATTAGAAAGGTTTTTCACGTAAACAAAACATGCTGATTAGTTATTCGTTCAGCACATCGGTGTGCTTGAGAGTAAACCCACGACAACATTTACAATTCGAGTACCGTGGCGTTTCACCGCTAATAAAAAACAACAACCAGAATCATCAGGCGACAGCCAGAGCTTTGGAGAAATCCTCCTCCTGTTTCAGTCTGAACTCAAGTGAGACCAGAAACTACCTGGCTCTCGAGGAATGTTCTTTTTTTAATTGTTTGCTGTCGCAACCTTCCGGCGTCTGTGAAAAAAAAAGAGGTTCATAGCTCATCGGATTCCTCCTGCGGTCTAAGTAAAGATTCCGATTCTGCTGTCGGATATCATTTTGCGCAGTGTGTTGGAAAATTAGGTGGACAAAAAAGGGCGCCAGGACGAAGTCGGTTGCCACCTTGGCACCGGTGCTACGCCGCCTTGATTTGACGAGTGACGATGAAGGGAAAACACGCGGGTTTTGCGAAATCGACGCCGATTTTAAATCCCAACTACACTAACGGCTCATTAACGACGTTCAATATATCATCGCGTACAACAAAAACCATTGCTTAAAATAATCCATAAGGCATTACGCCCTGTTGCATTGCGCACGACGAGGGCGATCTCTCCAAGTGAAATACCACCGACAGAATGGGCGGCCAAGCGTTTAAATATTTTCTGTTTTACGCTCTTCAATGTGCCAGAGCGTGCGCGCGGCTGCCCACACAAGATCTGACCACGTTACTGCAAGATCCGACCGTGTCCGTCCAGTGCTCGCCGAGCTGCATTGGCTTCCGGTTGCCGAACGAACCCATGATGCGGTTCGCGCTCGTTACGCACAAAGTTGCCTGCCACAAATTAACCACAATACCTCGCTAATCTCGTCAGCAAGGAGCATAAGCCATCATCATGTGAACTCTGGTCAGCCTCGTGGCAACTTTTGGCTGGCCATTGAACAAAGACGGTCAAAGCATCGGACACATATTGCATAAATAGCCAACCGTGCTAATCGCACTTCAGATTAGCACGGTTGGCGACACACGGTGCAAAATAAACTCAACGTACATGCAGGACACACTTATGTATATTTTGCAACCAAAAAGTTCGAGTGATCTTAAACATCTTGCTTGATAAACGAATCGGCCATGGACAAACACGCGGGGCTCTCTCTGAACTCTCGAAGCGACGCGTGCCCACCAGTGCCATGACAGGCACGTTGAGGTTTAGTGGCTTGTATAAGAATATCGTAACAGTACCCAGTGTGTGCGTAGTTTTATTCCAGATCAAGACATCATCGTGGCCACCACCACCACCACAGCTCGTTGCCAATGCTTCATCCGCCAGATCCCACAGCTGCTGCGCAAGGAGACGCGTGACGAGATCTGCCCTCAGTCTCCAGCCATCTGTTTAGGTCTTCCCCTTCCTTGGTCGTCAGATTCATGGAGACCCAAACCGCATGGCCTGTCTGGTGGTGCCAATATGTTACCTCCCTCGCCTGGTATACAGGAGGTCGTGGTTTCGATCCTGTCTCTGACGCCTGCTCGATATTTGGAGTTTGCATGTCTCTCTCTCCCTGTGGTCGCGTGGATTTTTTTGCGGGTCCTCCGGTTTTTTCTTCAACATTTAGAAGCATAATGCGTTGAGAGTATTTGCTTTTACTTACATTTCCACGTGTTAAACACTTTGTTGGGCTATCATTTATGGCCAGGTCGCTTCTGAAAAATAGCTCTATATAGCTCAGTGGGTCTTACCTGGTAAAATAAAATAAAAATGTTAAGTTATGGTGCGTTATTGATGCAAATTAAACTGCCGTCTGATTATATTTTTTTTTTAAATAATGGATGACACCTTTATGGACGCACTATACAGTGATGTTAATCAAGTTTGGGTTACAATGAAAGAAATAACCAAATTAATCTCCTATTGGAGCCTTTTGTACATATTTAGGGCACACCATTGGCACAAAACACACAATGCAATTCTCTAGAACACACAGTGATATTCGTCGAAATTCCAGCACCGTTGCCAATCCACTGGTGGGTTGAAGGCCTACCCGTGCCACGTCAGTCCGAGTAGATTTGACCATACTTCACCACGCTGACCAGTGCACATTGCCAGAGAGGGGGTGTGAGATCTCCAGAACTTCTTTCGCACCGTACGTAGCCAACCGCGCTAATCGGATAATATCGCAAAAGCAAGTTGCATAAAATGCGATAAAAAAAATGTTGCCAAGTTGTATGATTTTTTTTTGCCATCTCGTATACGGACGAATGATTCCCGTGCTATATGCGGATAATATATTTATTTTTAGGGTAATTACTTTACTGTAATTTTTTGCTGTATAATTACAGCATTTTAAGAGCATTAGCATGTCTAATCCTTGATGAGTGGGGAGACAAGGTCAAAAGATAAAAGTATTTGCAGGCAATTAGGATTGCCCTCGGACCAGCATGAATGATTCATGGGCCGTGTTTACCTGTTACGTGACATCTCTTCATCATACATGCCACATCACACACACGCAAAGACAAACATCCCCCGTATAGTCTTAACAGACTGTTGGGGCAAGTGCTGTTAGTGAGAAGCACCTATGAAGACCGGCACTGTGGCACACGAAGGGGTGGGGGGCCAGCACTACGCCCGGCCGTCTTTGCCTCCAGAGTGGCGATGTTTACACACCGCACCAGGTACTCATTTGAAGCAGAGTCGACCTAAGGGAGGCCCAGAACCGCTTCAGATATTCGTCACTGGTGTTGGTGGCCGTGAGGTGGGATTCGAACTCGGGTTGCCGGGTTCGTCGTACAGCACGCTAACCGCTACACTACCGCTCCCTACATACACAACAACAACCGCCAT